AATGTCACGTCTACCAGCAGGTGTTAAATCCCAATGGAAGGGGTGAACAACTTGTAACACATTGCACACTCAGTGCTCACTTCTCTTACCTTCCTCAAAGGTGTTAGAATATGAAATGTTAAATGTATCTCCATAGGGCTTCAAACACCAAATGGACATGCACCTAACTGCAGTGTGCTGGGACATAAGTTGTGGAAGATAATGCCATGTTATTACTATACCACAGTCACTTGGAAAAAAAAAAAGTTTGTGTTTTTTCTTCTGCAAGCAAATGGAGAAGATTTGGTAATTAATATTGAAAGCCTCACACCTATTGGCAGTGTAAGTCCCCTAAATAACTAGTATGGAGTAAATGGAATATGTTTTATATGCAGATTGACAGATACGAATGCTGAACACAAGCCAGTATTTCCAGTTGTAGTTACTAGATCTTTCAAGTAGTTTCTTAAGTCTTCCTTGGTGACAGACCTCCTGCATCTGCTACTGTGGACACCGGGCACATCAATCTATCATCAGGAGGACAGCAAAGGCCTCATCTGGGTGACAGCAGCCAGCACGCCCCCAGAGAAGAGACATTCAACGTGTTCGACAGTCCAGCAAACCGGAAAAAAAAAAAAAAAAACAACCCCAAAAAACCCCCAGCTCCTTCCTGAAGGCAGAAAGCGAGAGCTGCCCGTCCCCTGGCCGAGTCTCTGGGTCCCCCTGCCAGCAGCCCGCAGCACAGCACGCCCCGGCCGCCGCTCCCCACACGCCAGCGGCAACAAGGCGCGGGAGCCAGCACAAGGCCACGACGCGCTGCCGCCCCCCGTCCCCTCCGCCATGTGCGCATCCGCCGCCCGCCCGGCACCCGGCCCCTTCCCGCCCCCCTCCCCGCGGACGGCCGGACACACAGACACGCACCCGCTCCTCCCCGTGCGGCTTTCCGGCCCCGCCGCCTCCTCCCGGGGCGCCCCGCCGGCCCCGCTCCTTCCCCACGTGTTGCCGGCCCGACCCGCCTCCCCTCAGCGCCGGCCCGCGCCGCGCGGGCCCGGCCTAGCCCAGTCCGGCCCCTCCGCGGGGCGCGGCGGCGGG